TGATGATAGGTAAAAGATTCAAGAGTTCACTTCGTTGTTTCTATGCCTACAATACATTGATCACAGATAATGCCCTCTCTGATATCGCCATCAATTGCTCTTCACAATTGTCGGTAATCAATGTATCGAAATGCAAAAACATCTCCAATCTATCGGTGGCAACAATAGCAATCAATTGTGGTAGAGTATTGAATAAATTGTTTTTACAAAATATTGAATGCCTTTCGGTTCATAGTATTTCACTATTGGGTAAATATTGTACACAATTAACTACATTACGTTTGGATGGTTGTATCAATCTAATGGATGATTCCATACTATCGTTACAACCATTGGAGAGATTGAGAATTTTAAATCTCTCAAATGTACCAAAGATCAATGAAATGTCACTCATAAAGATATTACCATCGTTGAAAGATTTGGAGGAATTATATCTCTATGAGAATCCACGTTTCTCTGATCTAACCGTTAAACAACTCTCAATCACCAATCCTCGAATCAATACATTACGTGTCGATAAAACAGTATTTGTATCAGATGCTTCGATTATACCATTCACCAACAGTATCGGTTATCTTAGAGTATTGAATCTATCTGGATTACAATCCATTCATGACTCAAGTATCATGGCATTGGCAACCTCACAGAAATTCATTCAAAAACTCTATCTCTCTGGTTGTAAATCCATTGGAAATGATTCATTGTTTGCAATCACTGGTCATATGTCATCATCGTTGGAAGTATTGAAAATAGATGACTCTCATCAATTCTCTGAAGAGGCATTGTCATCGATTAGTCTCTTGAAGGGTTTAAAGATACTTTCCATCTCCCATTGTATTCATACCACCAATAATACCATCGATTTAATCGGTTACAATTGTAGAGAGTTGGAGCAATTGTATATGTGTAAACTACCATTGGTAAATGATGCCGTTCTACCCGCATTACTATCGAATTTATGTAAATTAAAGATCTTTAGAATCGATGGTTGTATAAATATGACTGATCGTTCGTTGACTGGCATTCGTTTCTTAAATCGTTTATGTTTGGAGGTTTTCAATTGTTCTGACTCTAGAATAGGTTGTGGTGGACTACTCACAATTCTTCAACAATCGTCGATTAGAGAACTCTACGCTTGGAATTGTGATTACATCACTGATGACATTTTAAAAACCATTGCAAACGATGCCTCCACTATTCAAATCCTACGTTTGGATGGCTGTAAAAATATTAGTGATAAAGGTATACGTTCTTTGATTCAAAGATGTCCACTCTTACGTATTCTAAACATTTCCAACACAAAGATATCTGATGAAACATTACAAACCGTTGCTGGCTATTGTAAACGTCTAAAGAAGCTCTATACAAACAACTGTACTAAAATCACATCGTCTGGTATTTCAGCGATCGCCTATCAATGCAATGAGTTGACCATTTTGAATGCTTCACGTTGCTCCAATATCAACGATAATGCTATCATCGATGTCTCTTTAAAATGTAAACTTTTGAAACGTTTAATATTAAACTATTGTCCAAAGATTACAAGACTTTCAATCATTAGAGTATCAGTAGGTTGTCCAATGTTAAAAGAGATCTCTTTGAAAGGTTGTACCAATTTGGATGAGATGAGTGTACTCTCATTATCAACTTATTGCAAACGTTTACAATATATCGATTTCACCGATTGCCATTTGGTAACAGATTTGGCTATGGTCGGTATTGGTAGAGAATGTTTACTCTTGAAATCAGCTATTCTCACTGGCACTGGTATTCAGGATAATGGTGTCGCTGAAATCTGTGTACGTTCAAATGTAAACCTTTTAACTTTGGAACTTGAAAGAACTAGAATCTCTGATCGTGCAGTTCAAATGATTGCCCAAATGTGTCCTGCCCTTAAAAATTTAAATCTTTTAAATACTCCTCTCACTACTCAATTAATTGAACCTATAAAACACTCTTGTTTCCTTTTAACAAATTTACAATTTAAATAAACACAACCACCTTTTGTTTTATTATCCATAAATTAAAAAAAAGTTTTTTAGATGATTCAAGCTTATTTTTTATTTATGCCTCTCTTCGTGGAAATATACTTGGTAGTTTTTTTACCTATGACAAGACTCGAGGTCAATCTGCGGTGTTTATTATCTCTATTGTTAATATGCTTGAGTATGGGACATCTTATTTGTGCCGCATCTTTTATGTTGTTTTAAAATTCAGAAAATGAGGTTTATTTGTGCCGCATCTTTTTTTTTTTTTTACCTATGATTAGACGCAAGGTCTATCGGCGGTGTTAATTAAATAAATGCTAACGAGTCGTATGGGGTTCGAACTCGGAACTGGCAGGTTACACAGTCTATGGCTTTGACCAGCAGGGCTGAGCGTCCAGTTCTATCTGAAATTTTCGCGAAAATCCGAACTTCGGATTGTTAGGATATTTGAAAAATGATTGCTCGATGCAGGGATCGAACCTGCGACCGTGGCGTTATTAGCACCACGCTCTGCCGACTGAGCTAATCGAGCTGAATCTTATGATTTTTTGGAAAATCAGGTAACATTAAAAAATAAGTGGGTGCCACTTTCAAATGTTAACACCCGTATCAAATATCATTATTTGTAATTAACATCAAAAATCACCAACCACACGACACATTATTTCTCATTTGTGTACAGATTACAAACAACTATCACTTTTTATTTCTAAAAAAAATAAAAAAAAAAAAATAATAATAAATAATTAAAAAATATCGACCAAATGAAAAAAAACGCAGTTTTTTTTCATTTTCGTTGTGCCACTTTCAAATGTTAACACCCGTATCAAATATCATTATTTGTAATTAACATCAAAAATCACCAACCACACGACACATTATTTCTCATTTGTGTACAGATTACAAACAACTATCACTTTTTATTTCTAAAAAAAATAAAAAAAAAAAATAATAATAAATAATTAAAAAATATCGACCAAATGAAAAAAAACGCAGTTTTTTTTCATTTTCGTTGTGCCACTTTCAAATGTTAACACCCGTATCAAATATCATTATTTGTAATTAACATCAAAAATCACCAACCACACGACACATTATTTCTCATTTGTGTACAGATTACAAACAACTATCACTTTTTATTTCTAAAAAAAATAAAAAAAAAAAATAATAATAAATAATTAAAAAATATCGACCAAATGAAAAAAAACGCAGTTTTTTTTCATTTTCGTTGTGCCACTTTCAAATGTTAACACCCGTATCAAATATCATTATTTGTAATTAACATCAAAAATCACCAACCACACGACACATTATTTCTCATTTGTGTACAGATTACAAACAACTATCAACAATTCATTTTTTCAAATTCATTTTGATACTCTTTTTTTTTTTAGAATAAAGGAAATTTTGCAAAAAAAATCCGGCTTTTAAAAAAAAAAAAAAAAAAAAAAAATGAAAAAAATTAAAAAAAAAAAATGAAAAATAATTAAAAAAAAATAATCAAATTAAAATATCAAACTAAAAATATCAAAAAAAAATATCAACCCCAAAGTATCAATTCAAAAAGGTGCTGGTTTGAATGTTAACACAAGTATCAAATATCACTGTTTGTAATTAACACCAAATGTTACCAGCCAGATAAAGACACATTATTTCCCCTTTGTGCCACACACTCAAAACATTAATTTTATACATTAATTGAGCCTGTAAAAAAAAAAAAAACAATAAACACGAGTTCTATTCTCGAGGAGAGACAGCCTAAAAAACTGTGATATTCAATTTAAAAAAAAAAAAAAAAAAAAAAAAAAATAAAAAATAAGTGGGGGGCTTAGCATAGTGGTTTCACACAGAATAACACAGCCTCCATGGCCTTGGTTCAAGTCTTGGTCATACCACGAATTAAAGTGGTCACAGAAAAAAAAAAAAACTTTAAATTAAAATAATTAATAAATAAAAACAAGATTCGAACACATCCAATTGGATGAGGTTATTAAAAAAAAAATTAAAAAATAAAATGGGGGGGGGGGCTTAGCACAGTGGTTTAACACTGAATAACACAGCCTCCGTGGCCTTGGTTCAAGTCTTGGTCATACCACGAATTAACGTGGTCACAGAAAAAAAATTCAAATTAAAATAATTAAAAAAAAAAAAACAATAAAAGTTCAGAGGAGAAACAGCTTAAACTGTAATATTTTTTTTTTTTAATAACCTCATCCAATTGGATGTGTTCGAATCTTGTTTAAATTGGATGAGGTTATTAAAAAAAAAAAAAAAAAAATAAAAGAATAACCTTTGTCTTTAACAATAATAAAGTTTATTATTTTTTAATAGTTAATTTAATTAATGTTCATTATATGATGCTTTTACATTTATATGAAATTTTATTATTATATGGCAATACGCTATTTGTAAAATATGTGTGTCGCTTGTCGGTTTTTATGTAAAATTATATTTTATTTTTTTTTTTTTTTTTTTTTTTTAATATTAATGATTATTGTTTGACCTTAGTCTTTAAAAATAATAAACTTTATTATTTTTTTAATAGTTAATTTAATTAATGTTCATTATATGATACTTTTACATTTAAATGAAAAAGTCAACAATCACATTATTGGAGAGATTTTCTTAATATACAGTATTTTTTTGAAATCCTGTTTTTGATTATTTTTATATTATTATTATAAGAGTTGATATCATTGAATCTTTCTGGTTCTTTGGCCATCGATAATTTATATTCTTTTAATAATTTGATGTATTCCATAGAAGCTAGTTGGTGCCATTTGTTTGTTAGCATTTCAAAATCCAGATTGGTATCTTGTAGCTCTTTGTTACCATACAATTGATTACAAATCCATATCCATATGTGATGCATGATTAATGCTATTACATTATTGTATGCATATGATCTGTTTAAGTCATAATTAATTGCTTTATAACACCATTGTGAAGTAAAATTATATTTTATTAGTAACACCATTACATTTATTGCATGAGTTTGTGACTGTCGCAAAAAAAAAAAAAGTTTGTTCGGGTTGGCATTGTCATTTATTTATGGACGACTTTAAGTCGACTTTCCCCACTACCCATTGATGTGCCTCGCTCTGTCTGCTCTGTTGCCAGCCTGGACCTCTGCTCGGTCATTATCAACTTACAACCAACCCTTAGAGATTAGTAGTATGTAGACACCAACGTTAGAGTGGATCAACTGTATGCGTCGTTTACCCCATCGTTCATCGACAATGCTCCCATTCTCCCCTCTAATGCATCACTTGATTACAGATTGACGTAACTCGATCCTGCAATTAGTTTTGTTGAAAAAAAATTTTTAAATCTTTTTTATTGAAATAGAAAATTTTTATGGGATTATAAACCCACAATTTTTTATTAAATTAAAAAAAATAAAAAAATAAAAAAATAAAAAAAAAATAAATGTTTCAAATAATTTTTTTTTTTTCACTAATTTTTTTTACAACCCAACCCATTACAAAGAAATAAATATACCAGAAATCATTAGGTAGGTGTCGATTTTTTTCATCAATATATTCGCACACACCATGTAAACAACTTTTCATTTAAATTAAATTTCACAAATTAAAGATATATTGGTCCCTGACGTGGCTTTATTGATATATGTGATGCAAGTGTTTGTTGATATTCATTTTCACCTTTGCTATATATATTGTAATATAAATTATTATTAAAATACATGTACACAATAACAATATCGTTAATTTTAATTTATATTAACACCATCAGTGATATATGAGCGGACATTAAGTGATTTAGCTTTACAATATTTGGATTTATATTTAGTTCATTGACCAGTTGCTTTCGAATATTCAAGTGATGATATCAAAACAAGTGATTCAATTCAAGAGTTTGTTTCAATTCGTGAAACCTGGGAAGAAATGGAGAAATTAGTTGATGTTGGTCTCGTTAAATCAATTGGTCTTTCAAATTTCAATGTTCAAGGTTTAATTGAAGTTTTATTGGTAGAATTGATTTTTACGTAGAAAAATGAATCAAGCTGCTTCCAATTGGTATTATTGATTTGTTCAAATGATTTTGTGGTGTTTTGAATCAGGGAATCCTAAATATATTTGTTGGTGATATTAAGGGGGTTGGTTGGAGTTGTGTTACAATCTCCAAGAAGAGGATATCATGTGTAGTAATCATTCATTTTATAAAGCAACAAATTCAGACTCATCATCATCAGGATATTCAGGAGTATACTCTGCTCAACAAGATCATCAACAACTAAACAACAAGAACAACAAAAACAAAAACAACAACATTCACAAATGGATCACCAATGTATCACTAGTGATTCATATAAGAGTAATGTTGATTCGAGTTCAGGGTCATCATCTTATAATCCTTATGGTATAGCTCACTATAGTGGCAGTGATAATGGTAATTGTTTCTATAGTAGTGAAAGTGGTGAAAGTTCAACTAGTGGATCCAATTATTTACCTGGCGAAGAAGATGATGAAGAATTCTTTGTTTCAAACAATGATAATATCCATAGAGTTAATGTGTTGCCAGTGGAGGCAACATCGGGTTGTTCATGGACAAACTCTGGTGAGGAGAATAACCGGAATTCAACATTTCAACATTTTATAGATTTACCATGTTCCGAAGAAAAATATAAAAATCCATCAAACATTGCAAATGATTTTGTTTATTGTGCTGATTCATTGGTAAAAATATTATCTCTGAACTTCATTTACCAATTGACCAAAAAACAATTAAGCCATTAGATTTAGGTGGTGTTGCTGGTGGTTATAAATATAAGTATGTATTTTCAAAAAAAAAAAAAAAAAAATTATTTAAATCTGTTTGTTTAATATTAATTATTAATTATTTATTATTATTTATTTAAGATGCCAAGATATTATATTTAAATTTGTAGTTGATACAGAATTAATACCAGGATTATGGACGTATGGTGAACATAAAAGAAGTGATGAAAGAGCCCAAAAATCAGCAGGACATGAAATTAAAGGTTTAAATCATTTTATGGAATTTTCATCATTGATTAGATTCCCATTGATGGCACTTATTGACTATCGTGGATATAGATTATTGGCTATTTCATCGTTACCAATCAATAAGAACACTATCGTTTATGGTTCTTGTGATGGTGGTAAGACTGTTCAGTCAATGAAGAGATGGAACGTATGGCTAAATTATTAAATCTAAAGGGTCATGTAGTAGGTGCAAATAAAGTTTTCTTGTACGGACCAGGTGATATTGAAATTCATTCAGGTCTTGATGGTAGAAAGTATATGTTGGATTTTGCAAGAGTATTCCCTCCAGAGTTTCCAAAGATTTTAAGTAACAATAAATGAATTGGAAGGAGATTTTTTATTCAATGGTTAGACCAGAGCTTTTATTGAAATCAGAAGTACCAATTAGTTCAGATGCCTTCTCTGGTTGGCAATCTGATTCTACTGATATAGTCAAAGAATTAAATGATGATACAAAGATTACATTATGAAATTATACCAGATTGTATTAAAATTATTGAAAGTTCAAAATAAAAAAAATAACAATAATAACTCTAGTAATAAAGATTTAACATCTTTAATTGGAACTTCATCAAATTCAGCATTTAGTAATCGTTTGATTGAAAATTCTCAAATTAAATTAAGATCTGCAGCACGTTCAATGTCTATCATTCAAAGTATTGTATAGATCATCGATGGCCAATATTCTATCAATGGCATCCTCAATTAATTCATCGTCATCATCACCGGTATAGAATCATTAGAACCATCATAATCGTCGTTAACTTCTGTAGTTAGTAATGGATTTGCCACTCTTGAATTGGTTGGAATAGTGTTGGGTAATCAAAATTATCAGGATCAAGATGTTTCTCTGAATATTTATTGTTTGCTGAATGGATGCATCTTCTGCATCGGTCCATACCGATTTTTATTTGCAAAAAAGATATACTCACTTCAAAATTGCTAAATTCAGCTGTTTAATGGCCTTTTTTATAAACAGTGTCAGGTTGGCTCAGTTGGTAGAGCGTAGGTCTCATAATCCTAAGGTCCAGAGTTCGATCCTCTGACTTGACATTTTTCATAAAATTTTAATACAGTCACGGGTTCGATTCGCGTCATAGAAACATGAAACCTCCAGCCGAATCACCAAGGATTCGGGGGTTCAAACACACCTCATAGGTTAAAAAAATTTAAAGTTGACCTTACAGCAATTATTCAAATTTCAATTCATGGGAACAAAACCCTTAATCAGCTGTCTTTATAAAAATTTGATATATTCACCAACATACTAAATATCAAAGATCCAAAAACTAAAAACACAATGTTTAGATTTCATTCGAGATGCCTCCCTCTAAACTATCTCCACGAAAAACCATGCCCAATGTGTAATACTAACATGTCTATTGATCCATACGGTCACCTATTCTTTAGCTGCACAAAAACAAAAAACTTCATAAATATTAACAAACTAAAAAATTTCGTCTTTGTGACAACAGGTAGACTTTCAAACTGGACGGTGGATAGAGCGATTGTAAATGGAAAACCAATTATCAAAATATTTCCAAAATTCAATAACAATACACCAACCGATAACCAAATCAATCCTGACTACGGAATTGAAGCCTTCCACAAGCCTTACTTCACATGGTGTTATAAAGCCATCAATTATGACTTAAACAGATCATATGCATACAATAATGTAATAGCATTAATCATGCATCACATATGGATATGGATTTGTAATCAATTGTATGGTAACAAAGAGCTACAAGATACCAATCTGGATTTTGAAATGCTAACAAACAAATGGCACCAACTAGCTTCTATGGAATACATCAAGTTATTAAAGAATATAAATTATCGATGGCCAAAGAACCAGAAAGATTCAATGATATCAACTCTTATAATAATAATATAAAAATAATCAAAAACAGGATTTCAAAAAAATACTGTATATTAAGAAAATCTCTCCCTAATAATGTGATTGTTGACTTTTTCATATAAATGTAAAAGCATCATATAATGAACATTAATTAATTAACTATTAAAAAATAATAAACTTTATTATTGTTAAAGACTAAGGTCAAACAATAATCATTAATATAAAAAAAAAAAAAAAAAAAAAAAAAAAAAAAAATTTGATATATTAAAAACACCGCTGATAGGTCTAATAAAAAAAGTTAAATTTTATTAATAAGGATTAAAAAAAACATTTTGAAAAATTTTTGTATATAAAATAATAATTTCATTTATTTGATTTTCATATATAAATCATTGATTTCATGAAATACATCGACATCACAAACATTATCAGGTAATTGAAAATTTGGGTTATTTAAAAACTTTGAAATGATTGGTCTTGGAATTTTACCTGTTTTTGTTTTTGGTAATTGTGGAACAATTATAATTTTCCTCAATTGTGCTACTGATTCTATATCTTTAGAGATTATAGAATTAATCTCATTTAATAATTGTTGTTGCTGTTGTTGCTGTTGTTGCTGTTGTTGCTGTTGTTTTTTTAAAACCAATAAACCTATTGGATCATTATAACTATTTGGGTTATAAATACCAATTGAACAACATTCTAAAATTAATGGATGTTTTAAAATTGAAGTTTCAATTGTAGTTAGTTGAACTTTACTATTACCTATTTTAATTTGATCATCAGCTCTCGAAACAATTGTATAATAACCATTTTCATCTTTAAATCCTAAATCACCAGGATTATAGTAACCTGGAAATTTTGTAAACAATTTTTTATATTGCTCTTCATTTTTATAGAGTGTTATTGCAAAGCTTGGTGGCATTGGTAATTTGAAAACAATTTCACCAACTTGATTAAAGGTTAATTCTTTGCCATCCTCTGATAATATTGAAGGTTTAACGAAAATTGATGGAAGACCAGTTGAATAATATGGAAATTTTATATTTGGAAAACAAAATATATAGGTAATTCCAATTTCAGTTTGACCATATCCTCTTGTTGATTTTACTTTTAATTTTTGTTCAATATAATCTGAAATTGATTCTTCGATTACTTCACCACCAACCCATATTTCCTTTAGTTTTGATAGATCATATTTTGAATGTAATATCATTCCCTCTGGATCCAATTTCATAAGATATCTAATAGTTTTTGCCATTGATAATGAATGAGTAACTTTATGTTTTTCAATAGTATTCCAAAAATCAACTTCAATATGTTTATTTTTTACAATACCACCTTCAAACATTACAAATGTATGACCCATTGATAATAAACCATAAACTAAACTATGAAATGATACCCAT